GCGATTTATCTTCTTACTTTCCTATTTTTTTTTTTTATCAAATTTCTCCTTTTTTTTTAAATTCTCTTATTTGCCATTAATTCGATTTCTCCCACGTCGTCGTCGTTGCCATTAATTTCGTATTTTCCTTAATATTCTATTTGACGACTATTCAGTCGTAAAAGCGATCCTTGTGAATAAACTGAAATTTAAAATGATTTGTTGGCTTTCGTTTCTTCGCTAATTTGTTGTTTCCTTATTTCCGACGATAAAGCCATCATATTTCTCTTCGAATTTTGCCTATTTTTCTTCAAATTAAATGCCCACTAGGAATGTTATTTATAGATTTTCTCAAAGTAATTATTGGCTTTTTTCCTTTTTTACATCTAAAATTTCATTTAGAGAAAAATTCATTTTCTTTTTTTGCTAGAATTAATTAATAATTAGAGGAAATTTCTGGAGTGAATCGAATGGTTGAAGATTTTTTTCTTCACTAAACAAATATTCATGAGGAAGGCATATCACTCAGCAAACGATGAAAGAAGAACTTAGTGGATTAGTTGTCCGAGAAAAAAATTGCGTCATTTGAGCTGTTAATATCAAATGGATATGATAAAATCAGTATTCGACGATCAAATGACCAGTTTTTTTTCTTATCGCTCTTTTCTTTTGCCATTCATTCAAATATTGAGTTTTCTGAGCATTCTGAGTATCGCTAAGGAATTACCTTGCGCTTCTTCTCTGTGGTTCTCTGCGGTGAATCTCTCCTTGCTAGTCAGGTGGAACCAACCAAATCATTTATTCTACACGATTCTTCACGATTTTTTCCATGATTCTTTTTTTAAAATATTGCTTCACGCATTCATTAATATTTATTTACTTCAAAAAAATTTTCACTAAATCATCAAACAAATTGGTTTTTACCAATTTTTGCTTTCTTTCCTATTATCATTGTTAATTAAAATTTATATACTTAATATTTATTTATTTATTTATTAAATTTTCAAAAAGTTCTTTTATTTTTTTATGAAAAAAAATTGAAATATTAAAAATTACAAAATTCGATTTTTGAAAAGAATTATTTCTTTTTTTTTCCTCAAACTCCAACTGCTTTATTACACATTTTTCTCGAAGTATTAAAAGCTTGTGTTTTTGAAATTAAATTCGTTTGTTGAAATTGAACGGTTGGTTGCATTCTACAAATTTTGATTAATTTATTTATAAATTTAAGATGCCTTCGAACTAGTGGGCCTTGAACTAGGAATATCAGTAATTATGAAAAATTCGACATTGTCAGATTATAAGTTCATCGGAATTCATGACCCATTTTATCATTGTTAATATTTATATGTGCAGTTGATGTAGTTGTCACCTCGTATCAGACACATTTATTCGTTTTATTAATAAATCTCAGAGATATAATATTTAGATTAAATATCAGTTCGGACTCTATTCTTTGAGGGAAAAATGTACCTCTAAATCCCAATGATGTTGGAGATCCACTTGTGGTACCCCACTTGTAGTAAGTGAGGCAAAATAGCAAAATAATCGAAGCTCAATAAAGCTTTATGGAGAACGATTCAGTAAAATAATAAATAAAAACTTTGGGAGATGATAGCATTTGATTGAATTTTATCAGCTGATTAAATAAAATCAGTGATTTTGTTCAACTACCGCTTGCAAACCTCTTTCTGTTTTGCATGTTTCTATTATTTTATGAGTGGCAAAAAAAGTTGTAAAAAAATTTTTTCGGATAGTTTTTGGACAATTAGGCAAATGCCTTATTGGAATGCCTTGTTGAAGCCTATTTTAGGCTTATAAATTTTATTTTCTTTAGTGACAATAATCATGAAAAAAAAACGATTGATTGATTAAATTCTCGTCCGTTGATGATTTCTTCGTCGAATAATAATTTTCAGTCCTTCCTTCTAACTTATAATCACCAATATTTTTAGTGCGAGTCGACTTCTTAAAACGTTTTTTCTTCCTTTTTCTTCCTTGGCGTTTTCCTTCTTGGATTCTCTAAAAAGTATCTTTTGTTTCCTCTAAAAGTGATTAAATTTTGATTTTTTTTTTTTGGTTTTTGCCAATTTTTACTAAAATTTCTATAAAATTGCGAGTTTCGATAAAAAACTGGTCGTCGGTTCTTGAAAGATCGTCTCAAATAGCACTGCATTATGTCGCATTACGTCAGAGGAATAAACAGAGGAAGTGGCATTTCGTAGGTTGAATTTGAAGGAAGTGGCACGATCCGCCTTTATTTCTATCGTCGAATAGTTCCCCCGGTAAAAATATTAAGCAACCGGCGGTAAGAAAAGCCAAACCAGAAACAGTGAGCGCTAACTATGCGAATCACGGAACCAACATTTTTATCACCACAGTAATCGTAAAAAATTTTATCACATCGCAGTAAATAGAAAATTATTTAAGATTTAAAATTATTTTTTATTTAAGCTAATTTATTATTGTGCAAAAATAGCGGCTTTTTTTATCGACAAAAATGCATGAATTTTATAAAAATTATCGAAAAACATTGTTGATTTAAGCGCTCGTCGTGTCATTTTTCATTTTTCATCTTTATAAATTTGTTTTTATTTTGGGCTTTGAATCATATTTTTATAGGAAAGCAAACCTGTTTTTATGTTCGGCCAGTTAGTTGTGTTATTTCATTTCACTATCACCAATTTAATAGCCTTTTTGCAGCAAAATAGGTGGCGATTCAGCATTCAGCGTTTCCGGTTGTTTATAGGCTAAGGCAAAGTAAATTGGGGCATAGAATCGTTAGAAGAATCGCCAAAAATGGCAGTTTAACTATTTCAGGCAGTTTTGTCGGAAAAATTCTCTGTGACTGGAAGAAAATATTTTTGACCGCTTTTCATCAAAAAGAAGAGAAAAATAGAAATTTGACCTTTGACATTAGTCGAACCAAAGTAAAAAGCGAATCGAAGAATCTTAAAAATCAATAAAAAAAAAAGGAAAAATTAGACGAATTAAATTGAAATTAAATAATTTTAAATGAATTTCAATAAATAAATTTTTTTTGTAAATTTTCATAAAATTTTTAATTCTTTTAAATCGTTTAATTATTGTTAAGAATCTTTTGGATGTTTTTGTGTTATTCGGCGATCGTTGCTGATAACAATCGCACTATTCAGTCACGCAACTGATAACGCTTTTCTTTACTGTAAATTCAAATTTTCATTTGTAAATTTTAAATTGTTTATATTTCGCTGCTAATTATTCCGTTCCCATTAATGGTTTCTCGACAGGATTGTTTGATTTCCATAAATGGAGCAAAGAGTCACGTTTGGATATATAATGTTCGAAATTCATAAATTCGGGTTCTATACTGTCTTTTATTCGTTTCGCGTGACGGTGGTGAGGGGTGAGGTCCGCTTTTGCGCGACTTTTTTTGCGCGGTTTTGGATATGGGTATATGATGCATGAAGTTTACATGCATCGTGAACACTATGAATAGTTGCGTAATTTCAGTAAGTTCCATTATTGCTTCATTTCTATTCTTCCTTCTACAGTCTGTTCCTTTTTCGTTACAATTTTTTCTAAATGACTTTTCTAAATAACTCAGTTTTTTAATTTTTTAAATGTTTCAATATATAGTCGTCGTCTTTAGATTTGTAAATATGTTTTTTTTGTTGTATATCAAAATATTTATTTATTATTTATTATAATATTATATTTATTTTCATTCTCATATTTTATATTTCGCGTTAAAATTAATTAATTAATAAAATTATTGTAGTTTGTACAATTTCATTTATTTTTATCGTCATTTACAATTATTTATGTTCAATTTGATATGTTTTACAATTTTCATTTGCATTTGCTATTCTATTTTCTATTTAACGGCTATCGAAGTTCAAAAGTTCAACAACTTTCATTCAATTTTGCCAAATAAATTTCAAAGATTTCCGTTAAATTTGTTTTATTGTTTTGTTTTGTTTTGCTTAATTGTTTTAAAAATAAATTTTCAGAGCATTTTTCTTCTAACCTTTGACCTTTCTAGTTGAATAGTTTTTACCAATAATTTTTTTTCATTTTGCTGATCGAAAATCATCGTTATATTGTAACATTGATATTTTGACGCATATGTTGGTTTTTTTTTAAATTTTAAAAATGTTTTTGATTTGATTTTTTTTTTGTATCACGTCAGTCGAATATTTTTACAGACAAAATTGCTTCATTAATCATTAATATTTATTAGTTTTCGAGAAACTTTTTTTTAGGATTTATTCTTTTTTTATTAAAAAAATTTCTCTCTCTTTTGATTTTTGTTACTAATTTATTGTTATTTTTCTAAAATACAACAATAATATTTATTCCTATGTTTTTTAATAAACAATTAATAAATAATATAAATGTTGGCTTTTGGTTAATTTGTGGTTAAAGTTAATGATAGCGATGATATCCTAATTCTTTCTTTTTCCACTTTGCCTTTTTTGTCTCATCGCTATTTTTTTTCGTTATGAGTATTTATTTTATCAATAAACTCTCTAAATTGCAGTACTTCATCATATAAATCTCGATCAGCGATATATTCTTTTTTCACCTGTTCATTCTTCACTGTGTTTATAGATAAATATTAGTGATAGATGCTAGTGGCCTAGACTAAATTATTTATTTTTGAGTATTTATTTTTTCTTCTTTTTATTTACATTTATTTACTTTTTTTGCTTTTACTTGTTGTAATTTCGTTTAAAACATGTAAATTTTCAGTTAAGAAAATTTTGCGGCTGAAAAAATTTCGTCTCAACTAAGAAAATTGGAATATAATAAGAAAATTACTCATTTATGAGAATCAATTTTAGATATTTTTAAGGGATTATTTTTTTAATCAAAGTTTATGAAAATTTAGAAAATATTTTGTAATTTTATTGATTATACTATTTTACTGAATTTTACGAATAAAGCGAAAACAGAGAATGTGATCAAATTGTTGTTTGAAAGAAAAGAGGTTTTTTTAGGTTTCGGAGTTGCAGAAGTTGAAGAACGAAGAAGAAGTTATGCCAACGGGTGAACGTCATCATCAACTAATAAATTCTTCGTTTTTCGGAAGAATTAGTGCCCGTACAAGTTTAATGTCGTCTAAAGATTGTAAAATGACCGTACAGCTTCTCGACGATTCTGAAACCATTAGTCAAGAATTTAAGGTCAGTGATCCTTTTTTGACGTTCATTTTCCCTATTAATTATTACATTTTTTCGAAGATAGTTTTTGATATTTTTGCTTAATTTTCAATGGTTTATTGTTTTTAGTTTATTTTATAATTGTTTTTTATAATTCTCAGATTTTTTGGAAAAAATTAAAAACTATTTATGGATTTTATAAACACTGAACTGTGTTGTAGTCTATGGAAAATAAAACTTTAATTCTTAATATTTTATTTTCATTTTAAGTTCATCAGTTCATAGGAATTTAGAAAATTTTCCTACGAAGAAATCAACACTTGGATTAATTTTAATGTTTTATTATTTGCTGAACACATATATTTTTCTACAAACAGATGGCATTCCATATATTGGCCGTAACCTATTCTGCCTATTGGCCATGAAAAGTGATCATTAGGGGTTCCTAAAATTTTTGAATTTGTCAGAAACTAGAATTTGTGGTGAAAAATTTTAACAAGTTTATAAATGTATCATATTTTAAAAATTTAATTTTTTTTCTTTAAACCATTTATTTTTTCCATCTTAATTGATTTTCTTGTTTTAATTCTCTAATTAATTTCGAAAAGATGAATAAAGTTGATAAAAAAATATATAAACTGGATAATTGAAGTTTTTTTATTTCATTACAGAAAAGCAGTTATTTTCATAAAATTTTCTGATATGGCAATTTCCTATAGAGGTCGAATTCGCATTTTTTTAAAAATTTTTTCCTCTTCATCGATTTTGAAAATTAATTATTCAAAAAAATTAAAAATTAATAACAAATGAATAAAAATTAATAATAATAATTAACTAACTTTAAATTAATCTTTAAAATCTTTTCACTGAACAGTTTCATCGTTAATATTTGTGGAGCTTGAATAAAGAAGATTAAATTCTTTCTGTTCATTTGGAAAGTAGAAAATTAGTGCTCTAAATTAACTGAATAAAAAATATGTGAATTTTTTCCGAATTTTTTTCCTTATGACTATCAAAAATTTGGTTCTTATAGTCTTATCATTTTTCAAAAAATAGTTGGTGAAAATTTTCATTTATAGGAAATATATTTTATCTTTAAAGATTTTGACTAATAATTAATAGTCGACTAGCGATATTAAGTGATCTTAAGTGTCAATTACATCTTTTGATCGGTTATCAATAAGTTTTTAGAAAAATGCGAATGCGCAAGTGATCCTTGATTATATTTGTGAATATCTTAATATCGTCGAAAAGGACTATTTTGGACTTCGCTATCAAGATCATAACAAACATCGAGTAAGTTGGTCTTTTTCGTTTTTCAGATTTCTATTCTTTTAAATAAATGCAGTAATTTTTTTTGTTGATTTTTATAGTAACTTTTGCATGATATTTATCATGGGATTTTTTATTTATTATTTATTTTTTTAAATTTCAGTATTGGCTCGATCTGAACAAGGCAATCAACAAACAAATCCGAAGTAATAAACAGTTTCGAGTTGTTTTCTAAATTTTTTTGCTTCTTTTTTATTTCATCGTTTTATACGTGAATTTTTTGATATTTTCCTGGAAATTTTGTAAAATACAATGATTTTTTTTATAATTTAATTATTTATTTTTTCAGATTTTCTGCTTAAAATAGCATCAGAATTTTTTTCATAGATGCGATAGTTTGTCTTTAAAATTCCATATAAGATTCTATAAATCGATATTTTAATTCTATTTTCAGGTCCAAATGTTGGTTTACGTTTTCGAGTGAGATTCTATCCAGCTGACATAAGTGTAATCAAAGAAGAAATTACGCGGTTATTTTTTAAAAATTTCTTTTTTCTATTAAATTTTTGATATTGATAAGTATTTTGTTTTTTCAGCCGATTTGCTTTTAATTACTATAATAGTGTTTTAAGATACCAATTGTTTGTTCAATTACAAAGAGATCTGCTGCACGGTCGTCTTTATTGTCCACAGGCGGAAGCTGCAATGCTTGGTGCACTTATTCTTCAGTGTTAGTATATAATTATTTAAATAAATTATTGTCTTTTATTGATATTATTTGATATACTCAGTAATTTGTTATAATTTGTTATAATTTTTCATCTTATAATTTTTTGTAAATCAATTTAAACAACTTGAAAAAGTCGGTCAATCAGCTGAAAAAGTGATAATTATGCTGCGTTAAACAATAACTATTTATAACTAATTTTTAACTAGTTTAAAAGAAGTAAAAAAACAAAGGTTGTGAGCATTCTTAATGGATTTTTTTAATGATTTTATGATTATGTAGCCTTTGTTAAATTTTTTCAATTGAAAAATTTAAAATTTAAAAATTAAAAATATAAAAATTATGAATTTTTTAACCAAATTTTTTTAGCCGTTATTGGTGATTATGATGCGAAAGAACGGTCTCCGGACTATGTATCAGAATATAAACTTCTTCTAAGACAAACTGCCAAAATCGAAGAGAAAATAGCTGAAGCTCATAAAACTCTCAAGTACATTTTTTCTATATCCTATATTTGAAGAGCATTTATGGTTAAAGACATTTATTCAAATTGCTACATATTATTAAGATATTTTATACTGTTATAAACGTTAACGTTTAGAGGATATACAGCACCGGAAGCAGAATTGGAGTTTCTTAAAAGAGCTTCTAAGCTAGAAACTTACGGATTTGATCCTTACACAGTTATGGTAAGACTAAAAGATCCTATTTAAAATTTCAATATTGATATTTAAATATTTAAGATACTTTTTAACATTGTATTTCTGGATATTTTTCCATGTTTTTTAAGGATAAGCAAGGACATACAATGTATATGGGTGTAACTCATCGTGGTATTTTTATATATCATGTTAATCGAATGATACATAATATCAAGTGGTTTGTCCTTAATAATTTTGGGAAGAAATATTTTGAGCAAAAAGTTTGAATGAAAATTTATATTTTTAAAAAAAAAACTATTTATAAAATTTGTAAAATTTTATAAAAGGTGACCAATGTTTTCGTATGATTCATGATTGACTATATTTTTTCAATCGTTGAATTTTTAAAATTTTTAGGGACCAGCTAGCAAAAGTAGACTATCTTGGAAAGGAAATTTTCATAACTCCGGTTTCATCATATACCGCACCTTATATGGCAGCAGATAATCTAAATGTTAGCATCATAAATAGTGCTTTATTTTAAAAAAAGTTCGTGGATTTATATATAGGATATACCAACTTATCTCAAAAAGCTGTGGAAAAAGAGAGTTCTAATATTGTGTTGTTTAGATTATCCTTTTGCAATAAGAATTTTTGATCCTCATTTCCACAAGAATATTCTATTAATGCTGTTGATCATTTTTTATTTTTGCTAAGTTTCTTCCTGGCAAAAATTTCAGCCAGCCGATGATAAATATCAGCCATTTTCTTATGAAACTATAAATTTTTGAACAAAATTTTTTTCAAAATGGATTGATTATTTCTTGTAAAATGGTTAATTTTCAGGGAAATACGAATAATACGAATTCGAATATTTCTAACGTTTGTTTTTTCACATTCTTTTATTGTGTTTTCTAATTAAAGTTTTCTTGAATTAATTATTTTCGTTTTGATTTAAAAAAAAAAAATCTATTGATAAAAAGGATTTTATGGTAGTTTTAAACAACCACTCTCAACCTCTCAACTCCTTTATTTTTCAAATTAAAAAAATCTTTATAGGGTGCACTAACATTCACAAAAGGAAAACAACCCTTGTTGAATTTTGTGTGCCCGTCGGGTAGTTTTGCGAAGCATCTTTGGCGTCATATTCTATCTCAGCAAGCTTTCTTCAACGAGAATGATGCAAAGCACATTAAACCGAAATTTTCGAAGTAATTTTTCATTAAATCGATTGAATTTAAAATAGTGAAAAACAGATTGAAGTTCGGATTTCCACTTATTGAATTCCACTTTCTTAATCTATTCATTCAAGAAATATTTTCAACTAAAATGGGAAATTCATATTATTTTCATTGACGAATATCTCCATTGCTAATATGTTATATCATGAATTATATTATAAATATAGACCAATTATAAAATAGAATTTTGGTTTTATTTTATGAGAATATAATATAAAAGTAATAAATAATATAATCTGTATCAACCTCTTTTGACTTCTTTTTATTATTTTTTATTTTTTTATTATTATTATTATTTTTATTATTTATTATTTTTATTTTTATTTTTATTATTATTTTTTATTATTTTTTTATTATTTTTATTATTTTTATTATTATTTTTTTATTTAATTTTTTTTCAAATTTTATCATAGAATGAGGACTATCAGGATGTTTTTTATTTCTTATGTTTTTTTCCCAATTTTCCAGACTAAAATCTTTATGGTAGAATGGTAAAGGCAAAGAGGGAAATAAGAAAGAAGAAAGTTCGACTTTATAGAAGAAGAAGAAAGAGGAAATATTCTTATAATTTTCTATTATCTGTGCATTCCTTCGCATCCAATCTTCAAATAAGGCGGAAATGCCGATTTTTCATTTTTTTTGAGGAAAATCCGTTTTTAGGCCTCGCATTCCACTTTTTACTCGCGGCTCAAGCTTTCGATTTCCAACAACTCGAGTTTTTCGTGAGATTGAACTGGACAGATCATCCGGACGTGATGGTCCGCAGCCGAATTTTATTCGTTATGAACTACCTCGTCAACCGCCTCGTCCACATATTTCAACTACCAATAATTACAGTACGCTTCCTTTAATGAGGCCTTCTAATCGTATGGGAAAAAGTAAATTTCTATTTTGCATAAAAATCTAAATTTACGAAAATTTAAGCTTTAATTTGAACCAAAATTTTTATTATAAAATAGATATTTTGTAGAATAAAGCGTGTGTTATTTTGAGGATTGTTTGGTTATAAATCTTAAAAAAGTGGGAAAAAATTAAAATTTTTATAATATAGTTGCACAAGAGGATCAAACTTTGGATGAATCAACGAAACCACTTAAAGTGATTGATGAGAATGAAGAAGCAGTTACAACTGTGATAGAAAAACCATTTTCAATAATAGAGAAAAATTCTACTGCGCCATCTGAGAATCTAAAAATAGTAAGACTTTTTTTTTCCATTCATATTTATATATTTATTTATGCATGTAATTTCTTCGCTGGCCAGAGGTTTTTTCTCAGATCTTTATTTGTGGCCTTAAGTGTATACCTATTGTGATATCACTTCATATGCGATATTCTTTTTTTATAAAAATATCTTTTTGAGATATCAAATGGATAATAGAATGAGTAATATTGTCTATCACCAATCTAAGAGTGATTTAAAAGTCCTTGTCTTTTATAGTTTTTTCTCTTTGCGTTCAAAGATTTATAGTAGTATTTTTGTTCTTTACTTTGTAATCTTGTTTATATTTCATGGTTATTTTTTATTAAAATTTAAAATGGATTCCATTAATAGAATTTTTATTCTTTCAGTTCTCCACTTCTTCACCCACCCTATTTCAGACAACTTTTACGATTCACTTGTATCGAAGAGAGATTTCAAATTCACATGCGGTATAATACTTTAAAATAGCACTTCTTTGCCTTTTCCCATTAAATTCAGTTCAATCAACAACCTAAATTATTTATTCGTTTTTTCATTATTCCATTTTTATTTTATTTTGTTCTTTATTGTAATATTTTTGCTTAAATTTTATTCATTTTAAATGTAAATGAACATACTCATATTTCTCATCTAATTCTAACATGCTAGATTTTGCCTCATAAATCGGAGATAAAATAAATTTGCATTTTTCATCGAAGTGGCAAAAACCAGCAATAAAATATTTGCATGGTTGCATGGTCGTTTGTTTCAAATGAATGAACTTAATTTCATTTCTTTTATTCTTTCCTTTTTAAATTGTTGCTCTATTGTTGTCATTTGCGTTTTTTTCATGTTTTACTGCATGATTAATAATGAAAATATTGGGGAATATTTAATTGCTAATTTAAAATGTGGAATTTTTGTGCTAGTAAGTTAATCTTTTTATGGTAATTTGAACGATATATAATAAAATTTGAGAGATAATTGTAATATGTGAAAAACATTGTAAATATACTTTTTGCTAGCTAAAGTCAAATGTTTAAAGTTGGCCGTTTTTGTTTTAGAGCTATTGCTTTTATTTTTTTCTTATTCTTGCTTGCTAGAATATTAATCATTTAAATCAGTTTTCCCATATATTTTTGTGTGTTATTTTATCTAAATGTGTGGAAATTTATTTTTATAAAATTTGCAATTTTTTGCAGGATGAAGTGAGGAATAATGTTATGACAACTTTATCTTGCGATGAAGAACTATACAAAACAAAAAATATTCAACCTTTATCGACTGCTGCGTTGAGTTCAACCGTTATAGATGAAAAGGCTATTAAAGAAGAAATTTTTACAGAGACTAGTGCTGACAAAATTAAATTAGTTTCTTGTGATTCTACGCAGATATCATCGTCAAGCAAAAAATTTGTTTTAATTCTGAAACTATTCTTCTTTTGCTTGATCTTGATAATTCTGTTAATTGCCGTTGTTGTCGCCTTGTTTGAGGTTGGTTTTTTTTAAAATTTGCAATAAAATGCAAAATTTAGTATGAAGTGGTTCAGCGGGTTGTTACTTCCATTTCGAAGCCCCAAGGGCAGAGTTCTATTTATATTTCATACTAAATTTAATTTAATATATATTTAATATGTTTATGTTTCAGAAATCTAGAAGGTTCTGGAGACTTACCTATATTTCTATTGTAGTTTGATGCTCTGGTAGAATTTGTCTGGTTCATAAAAGTCAGCTAGCATAATCAGAAATGATAGGTGAAAAAATCAGAAAAAATTTAATAAATTTAAAGAATTAGAATTTAAGGAATTAAAAGATTCAAGAAATTTAAGGAATTAGCGCTACGACATTTGTTCTGTAGTTTTCGTATGAAAATTAACTCATAGTTTTCCAATTTTAAATCGCTTATTACGTCATTTTCCATCATTTCTGAGAAATCCGATAGTTTTTTTTCGGAAAATTGATCTAAAAATTATTTATTATTGAAGAGTGGACCAAATTGGCTAACAAACTTACCGGAAATTGATTCAGTTCGACATTCTTATTATGAACCAATACGAAAATACGTGAAAGATGTATACAAATATTGAATAAAGAATATAGCAGATTTTTTTTTAAGATTTAAATTATTTTGGTTCTAAAGTGATGTATGTAATGTCGAATGAAATTGAACAGTGCCAAATAATAGGCGCAATATGTCAATCGTTTCCTATAAAAACACTTAAACACTTGTTAAAGGAATGATTTTATTGTTTTGATTGTATTCTGTGTATTTTTTTTATTGTGCGGCCAATGTATTTGGAATATTTGGCAAAACTTGCATCCGACATTATTTTTCACCGTTGCATATAATTAGATTTCTAGTTTTTTGCATTACCAACACCAAAAAAAAAAAATTTGAAAGTCCTTGAGTGAAAAGAGATGAAATGATATATTTCTTGACACATTCGTCAGTTTCTACCTTAGGGAAAGAACGAGTAAGACGCATATTTTTTAAAAGTTTCGTAATTTTTCTAAATTGCTTGGATGTTTTAAAAAATTTATTGATTTGGATTTCCATAATTTTTCATATTTACTTAATCAGTTATGGATGTGGCTGCTATTTTATATTATAAAATTATTATTATTATTATTATATTTTATAAAATTTGAAAATTCCAGTGTTTTTTCTTTTCTTTTTTTTTCATGTTCTTTGTTGTAGAAGATTGTAGTTCTTTATTTATTAAATATTTATTTGCTAAATTTGGATATTTTTGGATTTTTATTTTTTGGTAAATTTACAGGTATTTCTCAAATTTCCAATGTCTATCCTATCCTAAATTTTTTATGGAAATTCGTCGCTTTAAATTTTTATTTTATTTACTAGTTACTAGAAAGTGGATTTGTGGAATTATATAAATAATTTATTGTGTTATAATTGGTTTGCGATGCTAATATATTGTATTGTTTTATTATAAAATTATTCTTACCGCTTTATTATTAAAGTTGCCATAAGTGTAGGTGGCAATTTGATGTAAATATTTAGCTATAGATAATTGAAAATTACTAATAATAATAATAATAATAATAATAATACAAAAATTTAATTAATGACAATTTTTAAAACTGGGTAATATTTCGCATATGAAAAATAAAGGCTGTTAACACAAATTGTTTCGAATTGCAATTTATAAAAATATTGTTAAATGCGAAGGCGGAAATATAAAGAGATAGCATGAATGGATTATCAGAATGAATATGTTGAAAAGAAAATGTTTTTGAGCATTTAATCTCATTTTTTTGGTATTTTTTTTATCAGATAGGATTAGCAGAGGGATTAGTCTTATCGGAAAGCTTAGTGAAATCCACCTTATCACTATTATCATCGCCACTAACCCTTGTCCTGATTAAGAGTGAACAATCGAATCTATGATTTTTGAAAGTAACTCGGTTGAAGCAATAAAACGGCAATTGCTGATTACTATTCCGCTCTTTTTCTTAAGCTCAATGTGATTTTGATTTGCGACTGCAAAAATATTATCCTATATTCTACTCGAAAAAGGACACCATTAACATAAGAAAGTACTCGAAGATTAGACGGAATCCATATTTGTAGTTATTTCCGGTTGGATAATTTTATTAAATTATTAAGTAGTAATTAATCCTTTGAAATATCATGCCGAGCTCATCAATAATTTGTCCTCTCGTTTGCCTTCCATGTCACCATGGTGATATTATTGAATTTAAGATTGCTTTAAATTCCGCTACTTCCACTTTTTATGTATTCTATGGGACGTTAAGTCCAACTGAATGGTCATTTAAGGTTTCGAAGATTTCGTAAATGGGCGAATGGAGAAGGCAAAACGGTTGGTCTTGGCCACCGTCAACACTTCAAATTATCAGTTGGCTTTCGATTATCATTCTATTCCCTGTGAATGTACTACTAATTATTCCAGCGCATTGCATATTTTTACTAGCTATTGCTGCAATAATTTTCACTTGGATTATCCTTCTTATGATCATTTCAACAACTATTAATCCCGCAATTAGGGGTCTTAAAAACGAGGCTGTAGTTTTTGATAAGACAAAACATTTGCATGTAATCGAGGATAACTATTGTAATATATGTCTTATCAAAGTGTTAGTTCTTCATTCGATTCTTTATCAGTTCTTTTATTCCTATTCCGGTTTTATTCCGGTAGAACGATTACATTACAATTTTTTGCACTCGTAAATTAGAATTATAATTTTATAATGTCGAAGGCTTTGGTTGCAATCGATCCATTTGGCAAATCGTTCTCGGGAAAAACTTGGGAAATATTATCGAATAGTTCATCAGCCTGGCATTTGCGTATGGATTAACGAAGGGTTTCAACCTTGCATAGTTAAAAAAACAAACCTTCCGTACCAATCAATTCCCAGAATTTTTTACTTACCAGAAAATCACGACCCTTTTTCTCCGGGAGAGAAAATGGGAGAGAAAATATTGTCATATTTCGATTTACTTCGATTGAAATTTAGATATATAAATAAATAGCTAAAAAATATGGAAAATTTGTGTTAAAACCATTAAAAATTTAAAAAAAAAATTAAAAAATTAAAATAAAAATTTAATTGTTAAAGTAGTTAATTTTTAATTTTTTTATTTTAATTTTTTCTTGTTGAATTTATAATAATTCATTTTAAAATCCTAAGCAACACGTAGGCAACAAAGATCACGCAAAACAGAGATTCGTTTTCTTTTCAGAGATCGCACTTGCAAACATTGCCGACAATGCAACAAATGCATCATAGGATTTGACCACCACTGTAAATGGTTAAACAATTGTATTGGTGCTGCGAACTATCGGTAAGTTTTCGATTCGATTTGCCAGCGGAGGATTATTAGGAATAGAAGTGAAGGTGCAACACTCAGCACCACTCGGACTTTTCATGGTGGAATCACTCTTTCTGGTGGTGGAAACGATTGTCTAAGAAATACACCACTCGAGATTTATTATTCATTTAGGCGATTTGTTTGGCGATTAATTATTTAAAATTTATTTGAAAAAAATCTTAAGTATTGGTACTTTCCAATAATTTATCGCATAAAAACGAAAAATTTTCCAGAGGTTTTCTGAATTTAAAATTTAAAATTTTCGTAGTCCTTTTCTCATTTTTTCATTTTCAGATTGTTCATTGTATTAGTTGCATCAGTTACTATCTCATCGTTTATTATGTTCATTATTTTATTCGTTTTATTGGTCATTTCTTTTACAACCAATTCGTTAAATTTTAATTATGGTATTTTTTTTTGTAAAATTTTCGTTTTCCTAAAAATATCTTTCAAATTAAGGCAAAAAACAGTTGAAATTTACTGACGTTAGCTATGTTTACTCTGAAAAAAAGTGTGAAAATTTATCTGAACTCTAGCAATTTGAACTATTTATTTATTAAATTTATTTTTTTAAAATTAATTTTTATTTATTAAATTAATTTTTATTAAAGAGGATTAGAATTAATAAAATTATGAGATTTCATAAACTATTAATTACCAAATTTTTTAAATAAATATGAGAAATTTATTTGATTTGAGAAATTTATATAAGGAAAAAATAGAAATTTTTTCCAATTTAAATTACTCAATACTAATCATTGTTCAACTTTCATATGGCTTGAAAGCTTATCACTAAAATACTAATCTTAATTGTTAAATTTGCGAGATTGTACCGACTTGCTTCATAAATTTTTCATAGTCCAACAAAATCGTTATTCTTTAAATTATAAACCATTAAAATCCAAACTTTCCAATTTTCAGAAAAATTTGTTCTATTAAAAGATTTATGGCGAATCTTTTGTGCAATATGCTGCGTTATTTATTTTGCGAATGCTATTGTTTGTGCCAATCTTCTAATATTCCATTATAAATTATGTAAGCTATATCATCTTTTGTAACTTTGCCCAGGGGGCACCATGGCCAGAGTACCAGAGAATTTGAGCATTTTATCAGCGTGGGGATTGATATAACCTTTTGAAATACTAGTATGTGTCAAAATTGCGTTTTCTCCAGTGCAATTTTCGACTATGCGATAGATTATGCGATGTTATGGGACACCGCTTACCAGCATTCGAAAGATGTAAAAATTGAGAGTATCATGGATACTGAGTACACCGAATAGGCTAATGATGTTGCCGTTTTCGTTGGCAGTTTCGAGGTTACGAACTATAACGGACGCTAGACCAGATGTCGATGGCAGCAGCAAAAATGGTCTTTCAATGGTCTCAATGGTCTTTTCGACTTATGTGCCAGACGCTGATACAACCGCAATTCAAATAAATTTATCAATAGTCGAAGCGACAGATTTTAAATATCTTGGAGTCACTCTTATTCTAATGGTCAGGGATGAAGGATGGCTGCTAGAGGCGTTTTTCCGCATGACAAAACTCTTCGGAATCACAGCGAAATCAGCATAAAAAGAAAAATTTGCATCCTTCTGGCAGCACAGTTCTTCAATATGACGGCGAAACTTGGCCAATGAGAGTGAAAATTATCAAGAAACCATTTCCCTTCGACCATTCCAAGTTGCATTCTATATACCGGCCAATTGGACAAAGGCAAACAACATGATTGCGACAACCCTAATATGAATATCGCCATAAAGCATCTTCTGTAAGCAGTAGTGTTGTTATATTTTCCGTCGCACACCACAGGAATTTATGCACATCTTGCTACTTGGTAGGCGCTATAATTGGATGGCGTCAAAAGAGGCGAAGACTTATTAACATCCTGATACGGTCACGAGATCTTTCCGAACATATAGGCAGCTCAGCGATATACCAGGCTTAAGGAGTGGAAAAAGAAGTGGCTTACTTTCAGGATTTGCATTAGATCGGACGACTTGCAAATTTATCTATTTCAAATCTTTTTTTCTCCAAAAGTTTCTAATTTAATTTAAACTGGCTAAAATAAAATTCCCACTTAGGCTACTAGTAGAAGAAGAATCCCCTCGCCCGGCAATCCTATGTTTGGAGTTATAGCAAAGCGGAGCATTCCGTGCCCTTTTCTCTTCCCTTTTCATCTTTGCTTTTTTTTTCTAATATATTTATATGGAATGAACCTTTTTAATCAATCTTTTATCAAATATTTAAATAATTTTTATGAACATTGGTTTGAATTTTTAGGGCGAACTGGTGTAACAACGTATCACTTTTTGAAGATCCAAGCAGATGCAAATGTGAGTGTTTTTTTTGTTTAAAAATTAATTATTTTGTGCTCTCCATTCAGATATAATTAATTGCAATCTTACCATTTAATTGAAAGTTTGAATCAAACAATTGGATTTGAACAACCTTTTAAAATCTTTTTTGATAATTTAATTAATAGAGTCGATAGTCGATAATTTTTATCACTTTAGGTGAAGAAGCTTTTGAAATCAATGTTCTTTGATAATTTAATTAATAGAAATAATAGTTGTTAATAGTTGATAATTTTTATCACTTTAGATTGATAAAGGAAAAAGCGAGAATTACATTCATACAATATCCGAGACGATCCGAAAAAAATTTTCTCGAAATTTTTTCACATCGAGAGCGATTTGGGATTCACAGAACAATAAAATTCCATCGAATCGTTCAATTCAGCCATAGCGATTATTTATTTTATTATATTTTTAATCTATTTATTTTATTTTTTATATTAATAAAAAATATTCACTCATTTTTTACCGAAATACCAAATATCAAATTATTTTTCTTTTCATAAAATTTTTTTATGAAATTTCTTAGTTCTAATTTACATAATTATTTAGTTCAGTTGGTGCAAATGAATTTGTTTTAAACAAATTTTATCCATTTCAGATCTTTTGTTTTTTCTTCAAATAGTTCTAATCATTTCTATATTAATTAGCTTCGCGTGCTGAATTTAAAATTTGGCCAAATTCGCATTGAGCTGCTTGGCCGATTTCTACTTTTTTGTTTTGGCAAATTTTTATTTTTCACATAATATCACTGGGCTTATGTAATTTTCCAAATAATTTTTTTATCTTTTATCTTATCTTTTGTCATTTGAATATTTCTCATTTTTTCTTGTACAAATTCTTTGTCTCTTTTGAAATTATCGGCCTTTTATTTGAATAGAAAATCGAATAGGAGTTTTTTCTAAGAAATCTAAAAATTTTCTTATATTTATATTTTCTTATATTTACTTTGATGAATAAAAGTATTAATACACATAAAGCAACAATACAATTTCCGTTAAAAAGTAGGCGTAAGCACCGAATTGAACCATGAAAAACCATTAATTGAACCGATAATCAGAACCATTAAGGAAAAACTTTTTAAAATAAATTTTTAGAAGAAAATAATAAAATTATCAGAAATTTAAATTTTTTCTTTCCAACAAAAATTTAAGCCCAAATGAACTTATTAAATTATTCGTTAACTTGTAAATTAATGGTAAATTTTTTTTTTATAAATTTTCCTCAAGTATAAATAAGTTTTAATTCCGTTGGACCGCGAACTTTATTAGTTGTAGAAAAATTGTGCAATTTCGGTGAGAGACTGTGTGGTTTGTTGAATCGGCAAAACTAACGAGAAATTTGCAGTTCGTCTTCGTTTGCTCCGTTCCTCTTCGTCTACTTTACACAATTTCTAGAGGTGGCTGTCCGGACTTCTTTTCTCGCTATGTATCGACACCTTATTTCTTTTAATCTTCTAATTTTCTATTCTTTTTCGTTGCCTGACCAATTTCAGGTGAATTGCCCTCTAAGTTGTCGTTGTAATAAGACAGTTATCGAATGTCGAAATAATCGTTTTCATGGGACGAATTTTTTTTTACGAATGCGTCCAGAGGCATTTCCCGATCTCGATACGATTATTGTTACGGGTAATTTACTTGGCGATATTGCCAAATCGAATTTATTCGGTATGAATGTCACGCATAAAAGTGTTTCACTTGTCAATTTATCCAACGATCGTATTCTTTCATTTGATCATCAAACATTTCAAGCTTTACCTGCACTCGAATATTTCTATCTAAGCAACAACGACGTACAATCTGTTGGAATTGATCCATTTCGGTTCATTTTTTTCTAATTAAAATTAAAAATCCCATTTCAAATTTCTTTCTTATTTCATCCAAATCTCATAGTTCCAAAAGTTTTCTCGTTTAATACTAAAGGAATACATATTATAACCATACGTATGTCCATAAATGATTTGTAATAAATGGTACCAGTAAAAAAAAAAATTAAAAAGTTTTGGTTCCATTAATTTCTCATTAATCTTTTATGATTTGAACAAACAAGTTTCGAAATTGAAATTGGTATTCCTATATTTTCTTTTTTCTTAATGAGACGAAATTGCATGAAGCAAAATTTTTCAGTTATGTACTTGGCCATGTGGCTTGCATTCACTAAAGAACATCCCTCCTTATGGTATTTATAGTTTCCATAACTCATCCAGTGCTTTCATCCGAAACACTATCTTCCAATTTACTTTCCCCAGTGAATCTCTAATAACTTTATTTTCTTATTAATATTACTTATTATTAATTACAGTATTCTATTATATAATATAAATTAAGATAAAGTGTAAATAATAGAATTATAAGAGATGACAGACTCTATTCTACATTTTTTTTAGAATATATTTGTTTTTATCAGTTCTTTTTCTAATGGCACTAATTATTTCTGGTTTGGCTGACTCTTCTGACGATTATAAGAGGATTCTTTTGCCATAAAGCCGGTTGGGGAAATAAGTACAGGCGGGTATCTCACTTTCATTAATCGGATTTCCCATCAAGAAATCTATGCCTTGCCTTTTCTCGAACCAATAATACCACTCAGTCTATCCGTAATGCTAAATTCAGTTCAATTCAAATATTAATTATGCATATTCTACATTTTATATTCTTATTTTTATATTGTGAATTTCCGATATCTATGAAATACCATTGTGGATTTGCTCATTAAAATTGGAACCAATAATATCATTAATAAAATCACATAGCATATCTTTTTAACATAAAAACCAGTGGTGAATAAGAATGAATAGACTAATTCATCTTGTTTCGTTTGCCGCAGAGAACCAGCAACCGGCTCATCGTGCTGAATGTGCAACGATAAATCAAATCATCATATGATTTTATAAAAATAATGACAAAATTTTCGATATTTTGTGACATAACAACACGAAAAACTAGAAACAAAGAAACAAAATGCGATTATAAAACAACAATATGACAATTATTTTGATTATTTCTTCCAATTTTTGCAAAATTATAAAGAATTTTTTTTTCAAGAAAATAAAAAGTTAAAAGTCGAGGAAAAATTTTGAAAAATTAGGAAAATAAAAATTTTCCAAAAAATAAGCTAAATTTTAATAGATAAACAGTTCAGAAGAAATGAAATATTTCAATGAAGAAACCAGTACCAACATTTGATTGATTAATGAAAGGAATTCCACTGATTTAAGGCATAAAGCGACTGAACAAAATTTTATTATCGGTCTGATTTATCCTTGTTTTATCTATGAGAAAAGCTAAATGCTAACATCTAATTTTTTAATAATAATTTTTAAAATATATTTTAAATTTTCAATAAAAATTATTTCTTTTTAAGGTGGAACCAACGCTTACGGCTGTTGGATTTAACAAATATGTTCTCAAGAACAGTAAACGAGATGGAAAGGCCGAAACTACTTTCACGATTATTCGCTAATTCTCAGCATAATTTCGTGGATCTTCAAGAACTCATTCTAAACGATAATTCACTTATTTCAATTGAAGAAAACACGTTTTGTCGTGTAATCGTTTTTTTCTAATTTTTATTAAAAAATATTTTTTAAAAATCTAATTTAATAATAATAAAATTTATGGAAAAATAATGAATAATGAAACTGGTAATGTAAAAGTTTTTTGAAATTTTGCAAGAAAATTTATTTAACGATTCATTTACGATTTCGAAACAAATTTATGGGCTAAAAATTCCGTAAACGAAGAAAATTCGTGTACTAAGAAAGGAATGAAATTAATCATCAGATATAAATAATAAATTAAATTTAAATCATCATAAAATGAGTTTTTTCTTTTATTTTTAAAGAGAGAGGTAGGATAGCCGAATGGTGTTTTGCTCAGATTATCATTTCATGCTTCATCTACTCAATCCTAGCAAGAGTAAAGCTTTCTTGAAAAAATCCGGTGCTGAAGACTCCCAATTCCCTTTCTACTCAGTCGCCATTTTCCTCTAACATCCAGCAGAGCAAACCTAATCAGACTTATCTTCACATCTACAACTTGCTTCTTGGTCAATCGCCATCTCCAGTGGGGCAATTTTAACCAGAATGAGTAAAATAAAAATAGTAGCACTAATCTAAACATTTAGCCAGCGGTAATTTGTTTCAAATTTTAGATGATTGGTTTAATACGCTTACACCTATCAGGTAATAAATTAAAATCGTTTATTTATAACGATGAGTGCTTATCATCGCTTGAACTTCTCGACTTATCAAATAATCATATTACGTCGATGCCAATGCAAATGTGGTTGGATTTCCCGTCATTAACAGCAGTTGATATTTCCACGAATCCGTTATACTGCGATTGCGCACTAACATCATTTGTATCGAAAATCGCTGACAGTGGTTTTACACCGCTTAATAAGGTAAATTTTATTGAGGAAGAAGTTCGTTTATTTATTCGATTCCTCAAATAACCCATATTTTTACTAAAATTAATGGTTAAAATTAGGAGTGAATCGGGGAGAAAATGGATCATAAAAGAGTAGAGAAACCCAAAATATGTTTATGAAATGAAAATTACTATTGCATGACTATTGTTATAATAAATCAACTGAATATTTCACAATTCAGAATGCGACTTTTGAAGTCTTTTAATTTAAAAATCGCTTTTGTCATGAAAATAAAATTAAAATAAAAATTCAACGAGGCGTACGCCTTCATTAAATCTTTACTTCGCTATTTCCACCAGCAATAATTCTCTCCATAATGAAATTTTCGAAATTTTGACGAAAATAATGGAGTTTTAATTTGAAAACTCATGCCTGCTCGACATGCAAGCATTTTAGGCTGTGGATGAAGAATAGATTATTGTCAGCCATCTGATCATTCCCGATTATCATTATTAGATTAGATATGAGTTAATGAAGATAGGCAATGGGTCGTGAATTGATTGAACGAACTGACCTTAGTGTTTGATTTTTAAAAGTTATTCAAACTTTTGGTCATTGAAACGAAACTGTCACATTTTCCAAACAAAGACGGCTGAGTAGTATATTCCTTTGACTGACGCTGAATTATGAGTGCATTTCCTGTCTCTTAATGTTAATGATAATGGTAAAACGATTATCATTAAAGTCACTAAAAGAAAAATATTCGCACTGCTGGAAATCGACCTCTCTTTTGCAATTTAAGTTTTTGAATATGAATTATAAATTAAAAGTTGATTGAGCTTTTAAATCTTTTTCATTTCTTAGCAGTAACTTAGCTTGTACGCTATAATGATCGGCGATTTCTCAAAATTAACTTTTTTCTAGATGATTCAATGATCGCTGAAACTTTATTGTTGAATAGGGTGGCACCAATAGTCTTTTCCTTCAGCAATAAAAAATAAAATTTTCTGAACAATATTTCAAATAGATGAATCAAATTAGTTTGCTTTTTGATAAGATAAAGGGAATTAGTTCCAGAAAATTGGGGAAAATTAATGCGATATTCAACACTTAAATATTTGCATATTTCCATATTTCCATAATAATTGCTTATTTCGCATAGAATTTCGGATAGAATGTTGCATTTTCAGCTTAAAACTTCGAGCTCTAGAACAGTCATTGGGGAACAGAAGTATAGTTAGGTTCCAAGCACTTGGATTTCACTTCCAATAACACCCATCCTCGTCAAGGTGCATCAATCGAATCTGGCGGCTTGAACTTAGTCGAACAAATATACCATGCGACCGTTCTATTAGCTCGCTCGCAAGAACAACTTGAAAACTTGGAAAATTTTATTTTATGAAATTTATCTTTAAAATTTTCACATATTTTTTTTAAGAATACACATTTTTATTTTAATATATTTTTAAATTATAAATATAATAATTATAAATATATATTTTATAATAATTTATTTAATATAAATTATTAATATAATAATTTAATTAACAATAAGTTGATAAATAATTTTTAATTTAATTTTTAAATTTTTTTAAGGTTTTATTAATATTTTATAATTTTATCTTAAACACTTTATTAATAATTTTATATTAATACTTTATTATTTACGAAAATTTAATGGACACAGTAGATATTGACTCAGATTGCCCTGTTGAAAAGCAAGAATTTGACTCTTTTAAGAATTGGACGGTGCTGACGACCCCTACTTGTAGCCAAGCAACTCAAAAATTTCCAACTGGTGGAACTAGCCTAATGATGAGCCACTTGCTTTATATAACTAAATTAATATTTAAAATAATAAATGAAAAATGAGGACAATGAATTTAATTTAAGAAGAGAATTTAAGGGGAAAACAATTTGCGATGGACCGCCTTCACGATATGGCCAGAATCCATTCGAAGTCACCAACGTCAATTGTTCGACCACCAATTATCGTTTCTTATACTTTGCAATTTTTATATTTGCACTGTTAGTTACTTTCATCACTGTGCGCATTTATCGCAACAAAATTAAGTTTAATATACCTTTTATTGCGGGTTATCATAAACTTAATGCTGGAGAATCAACCGCTCCACAATTTGTTTAATTTAGTTTTATTTGGTTTTTTTCAGAAAAATTTGCTAAATTCGTATAAAATTGATGAAGGGAGAGGGCAAATGGAGGTGAAGGAAGAGTGGAGAGGTACGGTGGGGGAGAGGAAAAGAAGAGATAGCCCCATCTTTCCTAATAATTCAGTTTTTCCCTATTGTGCATTGATGGAAGTATATATATTTTTGTAATGATTTAAAAAATTAAATAGACAATAACAATTGATATGATATTATTATTATCATAAGTCGTCCATGTTCCACTGGGATTTGGGGTGGCATACTGCTTCGAAAAACAATGCAAGTTCGGTTTCTTATAATTTAATGTAATTAAATCCGTCATTAAGAAAGCAGTCCGGATGTTCTCCGAGACTTGCATGTATGTTTTTAAAGAAATCCGGATGTTCTTACATTTTTATTTTTTAAAAAAAAGGCTCTATTTAAAGGACGTTGTCATATGGTCAATGGAATCAACCAAACCAGAAATGATTGCGCTTATTAGAAGGGATTTATTCTGTTCTAAAGTTTGGCCGAATGCGCCTCGATTAAATTACAACACTATTTCAAGCATTGTGGTTTGTGCTACTGATAAGCACAAATTTATCTTTAGAAAATTCGGGCGGCGCTAGGGACTCATGTGTAATTCTTTCCCCGAATAAAATAACTAACTCTCGTCTCATCTTATCAGTTGAACGAGGCTAACCAGAAATATAAGCACTTATTTATTTAATTCTGCTACTGGCTTAAATGCAATCGTATTATTATATAATGCTTTATATATTAGTGTTTTGAACAGTTTTTTTTTAAATGATAATTTTATCATTTTACTTTTACTCGAATTATTTTTATATTTTTTATCTTCGCAATTGATCAAATGTTCTCCTAAATTTGTGGTACTACGATGATTTGAATTGAATTGAATTTTTTGAATTGCTTTTTAAAATGAAATGAAATTAATCTAATCAGATAGGACTTAAAAAACTTGAAGAATCTACCAATTCTGAATTGGCATTATTAATGCATTTATGCAAGTCTAACGCCTGAAAATAAATGAAATTCTTAAATTCTTTCTTTAACATAATAAATTCTTTAACATAAAATTATGATTTTAGAAGCAATCGCTAATGCAAAAGTATTTACTTATAAGATTTTCCATTTTCATTGTCCAAAAAAGTGATAAGTAAAAGATAAGATAGGAAAAAAATTAAAAAAAACAGACTTAAGCGAAGAAGCTGAAAGTGAAAATGTTAGTTATGCATTGAAAATTTACGAAACCTTCGAGAATATACGATTTATCTAACGAATTAGAGAATGAAAAATTCTGCTATTTTAGGAATTGTGGTACTTGAAAATTAGGTCATCTTATTAAATCCTCGAACCCCAAAAATTTTCAAGGATTATATTAAGAATTAATTTCTGCAAAAAATATTATTCACAAGAATTTTATTGCTTTGAACGAAATTATCGTAATTGAAAAATTTCCCACAATCAATAAAACGAATTCAGCTTGTCGAGAAAAATTTCCCATTTTTTCATCGAACTTATTGTTCATTTCCTTCTTTTTTTCGTAGTTTCGTCAATAATTTCCTGTTAAATTCCTTCTAACATTCATATAAATATGAAATAAATTTCTTTTTTCATTCTACGATAAAATTAACTAATTTCTAAAGTTTTTTATCTTTCACTGATAATTTGATTAAAAATTGCCCGAGTGCCAAGTCAACGTCATTTTAACTGCCGTTTTAAGCATTAGCTTGGCCGATTTTCCTGATTGCATAAGACTGTATAAATATGAGAAGTTTGATATTTAAGACCAATCGTGTATTACTATACAAGTGACGCTATGGAACAAAACTTGTTTTTTTAAAGAGTCCTCACCATTACTGGTTAGATTCGCTCCGCTGGCTTGTCGCACTAAAGAAATAGGCCAGGGAGGCTCTTGGCGACAAAAATACAGGTGGGTCGCCAGCATCACCCGGATTTAAAACAGGATTATTCCTGCGGGGAGCAGAACCCCAGCATCGACGCTCCGGATCGGACGACAACCCACTGAGCCATTCTACTCCACCACAAATTTGGCCTAATAAAGAAAACTTGATACTAATCATAGTCTAATAAACTGCAATATAACTGATTTGTAATAGTAATAATAGTAATTTTGATACCGTTTTTTGTATTTTAAGAAATTTTTATAAATATTTTTTTGCATGGAATGTTGCTTTGCTATTATATTAATCAAACAGAATTTTTCAAAAGATATAAGTATGATATGAAGTTGCTATCACTTTTAATTAAATCACCTTATCACTTTCTTTCTTCAATTATTTTTTCTTTCGTTATCATACTAATTTCTTCTTCCTCTTCTTGTAACACTCATAATTTCTGCTTTAACTGATTTCAGTGATTTCAGTGATTATTAGCAGCCAGACATTCATTTGGGGAATGAAGTACAGAAAGCCTATCAATAATCTGACTTCACGAGTTTACTCATGTTCAAGAATCGATGATAACAAGTCAACAAGTCGAAGTAACATGCATGACATTTGTCCCTTCCCATAGCCATTTTCCGCATAGTTTTAATATAATATTTAATATTTTAATATAAATATAAATACTCCTCTACATGCCTATTAAAATATAACAGTGAGGCACTGTAAAATTTGCTGAATGAATCATTTTAATAAAAATTCGTGAATTTTTTATTCGTTTAGCTGAAACTATTCATCAATCTTCACAATTTGCCTTCAATTTTTGATATTCTTTTCGTATTAAAAGAAGAAAAAAGCATTAATGATAAAGGCTTTTACATTTACATTTCATCCATTTCGCATTTGCTATGCTTTTATATTTTTCATTTGTTTTATTTTTTTTTAAATTTTATTTTAATTCGTTTTTTAATTTAAAATTAAATTAAAATTGTTGAAGTGAAAAATAAATTAGCGAACATAAAACTCATAAAAATCCCAATTTTCATGAATTTAATTTTAATAATTTTAATTTCCTAAAATATTATTTAAATTATTATTGTTAAATTATTAAATTATTAAATCATTTAAATTATTATTTAAAATTAAAAAAAATCTCATTTTATAAATACCACTTATTCGTTTAATTAATCTGAGAATTAAAATTTCCTTGCAAATTGAATCGCAAAAATACTCATTTATCTTACTTTAAGCTTTTTGTTAATGCTTTTCGTTTGTTTGAGGGTTATATCGGATGGTGCTGAGGACCCATCCGCTATCCCCGGAGGATTTCCTCTCAGGCGAAGAATTAGTAAGTGGAGCCAGTTAAACTACAAATTTTGAGTTTTGAATCAGAAGAAGAAGACATAAAAGCAAAATGTTCGAATAGTAGGGACCATAAAATTGCGAAACGTAACCAATTTAGATTTATAAAATACAGTACAATACGGTGCGTATATTTAATTGATCATAAATGTGAGGTTGTCTGACATTAACAGAATCAATATAGGTGCGAATAAAGATAAACATATGAATTGCAGCAAAATTGCAGCAACTCACTAAGATTCAGCGGCTCAGTGGCAAAATCAGTTCCGAAGGAGGACATTAGCGCAATTAAAAATAGCGCGGTATTTCGCGCAAAAATCTTAGCGAGCGATATTCAACATCCATTTTGAGGGCACATTTGACAAGCAAAGATGTGGCCACACAGTAATTTATTTGAAAAATTCAAGTCAAGTGGGGCCTAAGCTTTGAGATTCATATCAAACAATAAAGTTAAAAAAGATATGCTAATTGCTCTTTTGCGTGAATAACTGGAAAAGTCCGTGCGATTCCTAAATCGCATTCATTAAACCTTCCAATTCTTCGTGTTCCTTTGACATTCCCTCAGCTATTTTGGCCTCGCCAATATTCTTCAGTTGCCTTATCAATGGAACTCTCAAAAAGCTCATTTAACCACACTCCATTATGCCCCGTTAATGAACTTTGAAACTTTTTTTATTACCTCTTATCACCTCGCCTATCACGCGCCCAAAACTATATTATCCTTCAATGTTTCCCAACCCTCTTAAATTCCTTTAGGAAATTCTTATTTCGTATATCTTATTAACGGACCCTATTGTACTTCGATTTTATTTGGGATAGTCTAGCTTAGTGGGTTGTTCCTCAATTCGGAGCGCCGATACTAAGGTTCTATTCGCAGCAGGAGTAAATCTGACCTAAAATCCGTGTGGTGCTGGTGACTCACCTGTACTTCTATCGCCAAGTGATTTCCTGGCATATTTGTCCAAAGCCAGCGGAGAGAGTTTAACTAGTAATGGTGAAAACAACTCTTAAAAAAAAATTATTTCGATTTCGTACTTCGATTCCACAAATTTCGTTATACTTCGTGAATGTTCTCCAACTTTAAGGCAATTCTCTTTCATCATTTGAAGTGATGATTCCTGGTTTGCACAGTCCACATTTGCCAGTATCATAATTTTATTCTCGTTCTGTTGCTAATTTGCAATACTTCACCTCTATTTTTATTGCCCAGTATTATGTTGGAGTTGATTTATTTTCATTAGCCCCCTATTTTTCTTCTCATTTATGGAACTTAAGGCTAAAATCGTTGAAAGAGCAAGAAAGGCAGTACAGTCGTTAAATAAATTCGAAAACTATTAAAAATATTTCATAAAATATTTCTTCTAAGAACATCGATTAATACCACTGGTGACTTGGCTGGTTGCATTGGCTATTTGCATCCATTAACTGTTAAAACTCTATCAATTTTGGCGTCGCCTTGTTTTACCTGAAATTGGCTAAAGTCATACGTTTTTCCTTCCTCCAAATTCTCATATATGATTCAAATTTTTATTTTCAGTTAAAAAAATTTAAATTTATCACTAAATTAAATTGATAAGAAAAAATATGCGGCAAATTATTTATTATTTTTTAATTTTTAAAAATAAAAAAAAAAACTCATAAAATTGATATTTATTAAAATCAATGAGGCGAAGCTTTTAATGAAATTCTTGTAATTTATTGAAGAAGAA